CAACTATTCTTTGGGTCAACATGTCTCCAGCTACACTACCCACAATATGACCCTGTCTTCAAATTTTCATTATTCTCCCTCCACCTCTTTCTCCAACAAGTCGGCCACTAGTAGACTATGTTATCAAAGCCCCTATGTTTGCTAAGTTTATAGTGGCCACACTACCAATTAAAATGGTTCTACCAAACGTGAGGACCACCTGATCAACTGTTTATGTATCGACATATCTTCAAGAAATTCTATATGCTTGGATGTTCAAAATTGTTTCCACTATCCTAACACAAAAAACTTGCAACTGGTTAATCCATCTTCACACAAGTCGGTCCCCATGTTTGCACAATTCTTGTAGTAGTAGGTGACATAAAAGAGGATGGAACAAAGGGTAATGGAGCTAATTTGGATGCAAAAATGATGTAAAGAGTCATTGAATGACTTTCACAAGTGATGGTCGAAAACATCGATATTAATATGAAACTTTGTACTAGCAACCTCGATAAGCATTCTATGTGTTAACATCATGAGTGTCGAGCTAAGGAGGATGCAATCAAAAGGGAGCCCACGGTGAAGGTGGGAATTGGATTCTTGGGTAACCATGGTGATCCAACTAGAAAAAAACCTTGTCATTGCTTAAGAGTTCCCTGCCCCAGTAATGGAAGAAGATGACAAAGATTACATGACACCCAACAGGGAGAGGAAGGAAAATAAAATTTATGATACAATTTTGACTTCTGGAAAGAACAACAACATCGAGGACCATTCCTCTATTGAGTCATCTAGGCACGTCTTCTTGACCATGCATCAAAATGACCCGACCTTTAACTCGTCACAATCTCTAAAGGGCCAAAGAAAGCACCAAAGGGTGACCAATACTATGAGTTCCACCGTCAGGCGAGCCACCAGACTAACAAATGCATGAAGCTTAGACACGAAATTGAAAAATTGCTTGTTAGCATCACCCTATAGGATCTTGCAAGGAAGTCAAAGATGAATTTCAACTCCAGAACACACGCTTTAGAAAGACAAGTGGATATAATTATAGGAGGGACAAAAAAATTTGAATTCATAATGCTTGAGTGGCTACATTAAAGTTAACACGATATTGGGGGTGACTCCAGCGGGGAGTGAGAGAGAAATAAATAAAAAAATTATCGAAGAGCGCACGATTTTCATAGTTCCTGCAAGTGCACAGAATATCACTTTTGGTCCAAATGACTTATGGACTAAAAAGAATCTTAGCACCCTCCCCTTAGTACTAGAGGTTCGAATGGTCGACGATGATAAAGTGAGTTCTCATGATAATGAGGGCTCTAGTTACATCATCTTCCTACCATGCATTTGTAGAGATAGGATTTCCAAAGGGCTCGATGAGGATGTCAAGAACCTCCCTAGTCGGTTGGTCTGGTAGCAAGGTAAAAATAAAAGGAATTCTCACTACAAATGTGAAAAATGGGTGCAGATGGCTTAATATCCATCCAACCTATCGTGTTTCACATAGTCGACGATCCTTTTCCTCATAATGTCATCCATGGGAGATCCACATTCGCTCGATTCTAGGAAACACCCTTCACAACTCATCAATTGATTAAGGGAGAATCATAGCCACCCATGAAGGCCCCAAAAAGACCAAACAATTCTACTAACTTATAAAAGTGTAGATATTGATTGTGGAATATGTAAAAAAGGGGGTTTGATTAAACCAGCTGGAGATGTTGACGTTCCATGCCACCCCGACCAACTAGAGCATTTCATACGGCTATCCATCTTGATTAGAGAACACATAAAGGCAGGAATCCTTGCCCTAATCCAAAAATTATCTAAAATTTTGTGCTATGGTTTTGGGGATATACTAGTTGTAGCCTTGAGGTAGCCAAATGTGCGATGTTAGCCAAAACAAAGAGTACAACCCAACTAGTAAAAGAGGAGGGGGTTCTCCTAGAAGAGGCAACAAACTTTACTCACGTCTGTACACAAGCTAAAATTTGCAATGTTCATAAGGGATGTGATTTAACATACTTGGATATCCATCCTCGTGCTAGTTCCTAACACTTTAGGAAATTTGAGGGTGTGAATTGACTATACCAGCATCAACAACACCTTGCCAAATCCTCCCAAGAACCTATAAGTGGATCGACACGAAGGTCGCTCATGAGATAATGTGTTTTCTAGACATGTTCTCATGGTATCATTAGACCCCCTTGAGGGTTGATAACCAAGAGAAGATTATGCTAATGAAACTGATAGAAAATTATTGTTATATCATGATGCCCTTCGATCTCAAGAACATGAGGAAAACCTACCATAGGATGGTGGACAAGGTATTCCAATACTAGTTGGGGTGCAATGTTCTGATCAAGGTTGTCAACCCGCGGGTTGACCCAGACCCGGTGGAGCTAGTGGGTCAAGGGTTAATGGGTAACCCGGTTTAGCCCAGAAATATGGAAAGAGTCATTATATTGTACTTATCCTGATAAATTATTTCAAATCTCATCTAACATATGAGTTATAACATAGAATATTCCACCAAAATAACATGTCGTACTTAGATCCAACATATATTGAAAATTTACACACACTTATATAACATATATATTCAAATGTTTAACTTAGGATTCCAAAGATAGAGTTAGACGAAAAGAAAAATCAGAAAATAGGCGCATTTCCCAAATCAAAGAAAAAATGACACAATTTGACCTCCAACCCGAGACCTTGTAGCGGTTGACCCGACGGGTTCCTGCGGCTCATTTTTCTCACCGGGTCAGGGTTAAAGTGGGTCAACCCGCGGGTCGACCCGCGGGATGACAACCTTGGTTCTGATCAAAAGAACAAAGGAAGAATTTCACGTGGACAACCTTAGAGAACATTCAAACCCCTCCTAAGGCATAATTTAAGGCTCAACCTCATCAAGAGTGTATTAAGGGCATTCAATGAGGAATCATGAGGTAATTCATCACATAAAGAGGCAATAAAGTCAAGCAAAATCATATAAGGGTTAGTATAGAGGCGACTCCCCCATCAATCGTCAAGGCAAACTAGGTGTTGGCAAGATGATTAACCACCATTTCAAAGTTCCTACCAAGGTCTTTGAAAAGAATGTCCCTTACCTTTCAATTTCTCAAGAATACCTTAAAGTTTAAGTGGATCCATTATTGCAACAGAGAGTTTGTATAATTGAAGGCCTTTCTTGAAAATCTGGTCATGCTAAATGCATCGTCAGCCAACGATGGTTCATTCCGTTACATTGATGTGTCCTATGATGGGGTCAATCCTGTCCTATTAAAAAGAAACGAGGAGGAGAGAACTGAGAAACCCTTCTATTATATTAGCAAGACCTTGGGAAACATGGAGACTCGATAATGTCATGATTGATAAGGTTTCCTTCCTCGTAGTCAATGCAGCCAAGAAATTCGACCATACTTTCAAGGAAATACGATTAAAGTCATAAAAAAATGTATCAATTAAGAGTGTGGCAGGCTTGTTATCCAACTGGATAGTCAAGCTGGACTAGTACGATTTACACTTCATCCCTCGGATGACTATAAGCACACAACCTTGGAAAAATTTGTAATGGAAGGAGTGGAAGATACAATAGAAGATGGGAAGGAATGGATGTTGAATGTTTAAGGTGTGTTGATGTATGATTATGATATGCATCACAATATATAGTAGTATTGACAAGTAATAAAAATCCTTGAAATGTCTAGATTCGTAATCCACATGGCCTTCTAATAGCAATTACTCTCGAACTAATCAGTTATGCTCAAAAAAGACACAACAAAGATAAAATCGATGAGTTTAGGTTCCCTATGTTTAGATGGTTTTCGAGCTAGGCATAGATTATCAAAGTAAATGATAGATAATATGGATAGACAATATAAGTAAATGATGCACAATTGTTAAAAAAGTTTCATCTAGATGATCATGCACCTCAATCTCATTAATAACATGCAATGTTGCATCTTCTACTATGATACTTTATCCCTTCTACTAAAGCATTCATATTTGTGCTTTCGCTTCTTGCAAAAGGAACACAACTAGCTAATGCGTGCTTGCGCTTCATGTCATTAACTAATCAATCACACAAGAAAGTTAGGATAACACATTGTCATCTAAGACCTCTATGAGTTGATAACAATGGTCTATGACATTGATGATCTAGGACATCAAGCATCGAACTCATACAGCATGAAATGTTGAACATTCAATTTATACATGCATATGACAATATCATATCATATAAGTGTAGTTTCTTCACAACCTATAATGATATTATAAACAATACCATATTGGCACACAATAGATTATGTAGAGCATAAATGATGGAGAGCATCTTATTAAATCATAGAAAGAAAAGATACATGAATATCATTAGAATCCTTAAACAAGAAATTGAACTAGTTATATATAGGAGAGAAGGATGGTAACTCCATCGATGATGAAGACAACTCCTTAATTGTGCGGTTGTGCCCACCTGTGGATGCTAACTCGGTCTCTACTCAACCGAGTGGCTCCTTTCTCAAGAACTAAACAATAATATTTTTTATTTTCGCAGTCTATTGAATCCTATAGCCTGACACTCTATTTCCATAGTTTGTGTTGAAACTTCTCCAGTGGACTCCTCTTGGCCTCATATGAAGACTTCATGTTCGGTCCCCCTGCATTGGGATCCGTTTAATGGATGAGTTACTTATTATTCTTCTCTTAATAACCCCTTTTGATCCAATTATTGATCTAACTCATCATTGAGTGTATTTGCCTTTGAAAAACACAAAATTATACAAAAAAATGCATAAAATTATGCTAAAATATAACCTAAATTTATTATAAGCACATGGATCAAATAGTTATGAAATCAATACAAAATATAGTAATATATATTAAAGATGCATGCATTGATAGAAATGGAAATGTATCAACTACTATTAGCGATAAATACTATAATTTGAGCGTTAACATGTGTCTATCAAAAGAGAAAGTGGAAGCCGATGAAGTACTTTAATTGCGTACTTTTTTCAAGTTTATTTTTCCCACTACACCAGTCCCCTATGAAGATAACATCCATGTTCAAGTGAACTTACTCGGGCACATATTGATATAGGTCTTGGAACTACAAAAATAACCTGACGCAAAAACTAAATCACCTAAACTATCATCAATAATCGTATTCCGCATGCCCTACATAAATATATCTACTTTAGTTATTGCTTATAATTGCTAATTTTCAAGTGTCTTCAATTTACCCCACACTTATAATTGCTTCTCCATCAGCAAGGACTGACCATAATCATAACAATCATTAAACTCTAGAGACGACACTTGTGCATAGCCTCAATAGCAACATGTCCCCCTGGGCAGCCAACGAAGGAAGTAGATGCAGCTATCTACATTGTGTGCTGTGGGACATTGTGGTTTAGGGGGCTAATCGTTCGCATAGTGGGTAATCATCTCTCCCCATCCTTCTTGGACTCATATCTCGTATAAGTTTCTAGATTGTTTAACAACGAATAGCATAAACCTGAGTTTTCAAATGAAAACGAAACAGGAAATCTTCATAAAATTGACTCAAATTCGCAGCATTTTTCCTTCCAGATAATATTAACTAGCTAGTTCTCCAGAATGGGATTCCTGCCTTCATCAATTTCAATAACCAGGAGATTCTCAGGAGTCGACCCCTTTGGTCCTTCACCGTAAAGTACAGGTAGATAAGCTTTGTATGCCGGCAGGTACCTGGAAACGAAGTCCTCAATCTGCAAAACAGAATAAGAAAAACTCCTCCTCAGTGAAGTTTCCACTTCAGAAAGAGACAATTTAGACATTATGGATAAAAACCTCTTCGTCAGTCATCCCAGGTTTTCCTGCTTCTCTCATAGCAATCTCTGCCTGCAAAATGACATATACCAATGAAAAGAATGGTGACTAATTGTTGCTTATCAGGCACAAGAACTCTTTGTGAGCTGCATAAAAAGAATTAAATCTTTTCATTCCAACATCAAAAAGCAACCTGCAGTCGCCATTGGTAAACACAACTTGGGTCCTGGATCTTTATGACTGCCCAAGCATCCACAAACTTGTCCCATGCATCATAGTATGCTTCGAGATTCTTGTTCACTATCTCCAACTGTGCAATCAAGAAGAAATTTTTAGTTATTTGAGTATAGAACAAACAAGACTTGATTGCACAAGAACTCAATCCATAACCTGTGGATCAACAGCTCGAACAGCTTCTACAGGTTGGGGTGTGAACCCAAGCATCCAACCTTCAAACAGAACCACCTAACGCAACATGCACATGACTGCGTGAGTAAACTAATAATGGATTTTTAAACATTGTACTGTAGTAATTGAAGGTGACTTAAAGAGGATTTTGATACCGTTAATGGTCCTTCAACAACTGGCCAGGCAGAAGGATCGGCTCTATCGCCTTTACCACTATATGCAGACTACAAATAAGTAAGTTGGTCAAGAACAACTCTGAGCTTAAACAACAGAAAACCCAATAAAAGCATCAAACTATCTTACTTTATCATAGCGAGGTAACTTCATCTTCATACCTGAAAACTTGATATAAAAAAACAGGATCAAATAAGACAGGCACTACACCACCAGTAAGATGACCAAGGGGAAAAGTCCTACCTTCTTTAGTCATTTTGCAAAGAGAAGTCAGTGTTTCAACTGAGAATGGAAGATCATGGCTCCCAGCATTTCCACGTAACTAAAGAAGAAAGAGGAAATCAGAAATCAGAGAACAAGTTTATTTCAAGATTGTTCACACCTGCATGAGGCTGCTCTCATCGTAAAGAAAAATTTCAAAGCAGAGATTGGTTGCTTGCAACCTCTAGAAGTGAATTTCCCGGATTTGCTTCTCTCAGCTTACCCTGCAATTGACATGAAATTTGCTTCAGCTTCCTTTAACTTGAAGGCATGAAGTTTATTGACAAGGTACCTGATCCTCTGCCGTCAAATAGAAATCATCTATTGATATTGTCGCGGACTTCCTGAAAACGAAATCGTATGGGTCAATTGTCCAAATTTCCCAGTCTGGTGTCAATATACATTTTGGATCATCTATTATCATTGGTTTACCTTCCAGTGACATCAAAGAGATGAGCAAGAGCAGAAACAAGAGTAGTCTTTCCACAACCTTGAGGCGCACTAAAACCAATCTGTAAAACAAAATCTAATCCCTGTTACTACTAACTAGCATTGGTTATAAGCAAAAGAGTGCCGTTGTAAACTTGTAAGGAAACGGTACCACTAGGGGAGGTATGTCTTCTCCATCTTTGAACTGGGAAGCGTGCTTGGAAATCTGATTCTCACACCATAAAAAAACCGGGATATAGTAGTGGTAAAACCTTTTTTTCTGAGGATCAGTGAGGTGCATGTCATTGAGCTGAAACAACCGGCTCAAGAGGGATCCATAGAGAATCCACTTGTCAATGGACTCAGCAATTGTATCTGAAGTCAAACCCATCTTGCCAATAAGTGGACCTGCGCATATGTACTCGAAAAAGTTCTGCACAGAAGCAACTTCTACAGGTGCAGATGGTAAAGCTGAATCCACTGAACCCCTTCTCCAGTTTTTGCTGGAAATGGGAATCTGATGCACGTGAATGGAGTTGCCCTGAATCCATGAACATCCATGGCCACCTGCATATCGCATCAGAAAGAACGCCTGGTGATGTAAAACCATCCAAAAGTGTCAGCCAAGCACACGGATTTCCTAGTCTAAGAACCATATTCAGCATTTCATCAACTTCAACTAGGTTTACCCCAATTCAGCCATTGTTAACATTGTGTTCTGAAGCTGAATCCCATTTCTGACTAAAGCAATCACCTTTCAGACCTGAGGTTAATTTTCTACAATCATATGGGATTAGAAACAACCCTAATCGCTTCTAGAGACCACCGATTGAAACAGGACCCAAGTACAACAACACCCTAATTCAGTTCTTGAAAGAGAATTTATGACAGGTTAATGTAAAAAAAGCCCGTGAAAATTGTTTATTGGAGCAAAATACCAGAGAATAAGAAGCTAATGGGCAAGAAATTCACCTGATTTTGAGAGATTAGGTTGCATCCGAGAGACTGCGGATTTGGGTTTCGTCGATGGAACAGAGGAATGATAAGAACAAGGGAACGGAAGGAATTTACAATTATTCTTGTTAACCTTAGTGGAGACCCATTCACTTGCAGAATGTGAGCAATTTGCATGGTTAATATTATAATAATCATGGTTGTTCAGACTGTGTATGGAAGAGAAGCTGCAGAGTGGCGACGGCGGTGATGACGCCACATTCAAAGCCGCCATTCCCATCTCTTCCCGTTCTCTCCCTACCTCGGGCGGCGGCTATCTCGGCGCCCAGTGTTGTTCTACCTTCTTCTCTTTTTCTGTCTCTTTGTTTCTGAGTTATGACTGCTGCTGAATTTAGAGGATTGAGTGGAATCAAACAAAACAAGATAAGATTTCTTCTTTCTTTCTGGTGCTGGGAGTTCCATCTGTTAGTCCACAGTTTATTAATAGCCAGAGGACAAGAGCCAAGAGGAAATATACTAGCTATAAGATGTCAGTTAACAGTTAAGTCTATGAAAGCTTATGGATTTGGAGACTTGGCCAAATGAAATTTTACAGACGGGCGACCGTTTAGGTTTTGGAATTCCTTTTGCCATTGATTGTGGAATTGAATGCTGATAGTTTATATATATGAATGGATGAAAAACATCCCAACTTTCATTCCAAATCAACTGAGATTTGAAAAGTCCATGAATGTCATACAAGATTGAGTAATACAAAGCAGGACCAACACTTCAAAGTTCAAATATCATGTAATCCAAGAGGCAAAAACAAGTCATCGACTAATTAAATAATTTGCACATTTATTAACCTCGCCATCATTATGGGAGATGCAATGTCTCAATTATATCAAATCGTTCCTAAAAACAGTCAATGATTGTTGCATGCTGGTGGTTGCCCCGATCACTACTCTTAAGTAGTTGAACCGCATAGTGAGGTCTCGCTCGACTCATATTGTCAAAATAGTTCCTGAATATGGTTAATGACTGTTGTATTCTAGTGGTTGCTCAGATCACTACTTTGAAGCAGTTGAACCACAAAATGGGAGTCTAGCTCGACTTATACTCGTCTAAACCGCACTCCAAGCTAACTAGAGCCCTTCCACCATACCTCTAAACTCTGCCTTGATAATGGAGAAATTCCTAAGTTTAAGCGAATATTACAAGGCAACATCATGTGTGATCATGGATCAGGCCACATGCTACTACATGACCTGTCATGGGTAAAAGGATCTATCGCGACATTAGGATTTGCTCAATATTGTCCAATATGTGTTTTATAGTCCTCATGTGTACTTTTATACTTTTGATGTCGTAGTTTTTGAGTTTTTTATACCAAAGTATACCAAATGAGTATTTTGGATCATGGTAAAGGAAACCCTACCGGACATCATACCGGATTCCTTTCTGGTATGGTATTTTGTGGTACGACCGTGGTTCAACCGTTTTGTACCGGTAAATACCGTTTTTCACTATTGATAGAGAAATGAAATGCGATAGTATAAAAAATATAATCCATAAAAAAAAAACCAAATAGAGCATTATACAACCACGGTGACCCATTTTCAACATAGAAAAATAGCAAAATAATATACTTTTTTAATTATTTTCCACATATTGGACGAGAATACGTAGAAATGAAGCTGAATCACAGAGCAGGAAACCGGATCGTATCGGCCGGTTCAACCGGTCAAACCGGAAAAACCGGCCGGCACGGTAAAATCAACACAATCAGCCCACCGTATCGCTTTTGGTCCAATTTTCGGTTGAACCGGCCGGTACGATCCGGTTTCCTGGTCTATGTTTTGGATTGGACAAGGAGTCAAATAACGAACCACAGATCTAGGAGTAAGAAAAGTCAATTGACCTGGAATAATAAGCATGGTCGGGCTAACATTGGGGTAGGATGGTCGCTAAAGCCTAAGATATGTGAATGCCATTTTTTAGTTCCAAAACCTTCCTAGCCGATCTTGAAGACTCATAGAAGAACCTATCATTACCACTTGAACAATTAGACATCCAACCCGTAATCGCAACGACCCAATTGCAAAAAAATCCTAGAAGTTGGTTTGGGAGGAGACAAACCTAGTGAGATGCATATAAATATCACTTTAAAATATGTTTTTGCACTTTTTATCCACTTTCACACTTGAGGGAGGGGGGGTGGGGGGTTCGAAATAAAACTTTCTCTCAAGTGAAGTTTAAAAGCAAAATGATGAAGAAGAAAAATCGTGGATGCCTAGGGTAGTCGCTGATGCATAGTAAACATGCAAGTGATTAAATGTCCTAGGATGTATGATGGTCGTATTCCTTGAGGTCTTCTAATGCACAACTATTCACACCAACCATCATGATATCCATGAACTGAACAAGCAACCAAGAAGAGTAAAGTTGTTTATATGTTTTTATTTATTTATAGATGTATGAAAGTAAAGATACGTTATTGTAATAGGTAGTGAACTAGAAAAAAATAATTCAAACTAGGGCTTATTCACATCATGCATCAATGATTCATCAATGAGATTTATGATAAATCCATCTCTGCTCGTGTAGCATAAATGATATCTATGATTAGAAGGTGATCCTACAACTTCTGAAGAAGGAGAGGAAGAGATACAACCCCTAGGAGAACAATGGAAGAAAAAGGATGCAATATTCAAGAACTTATACTAATCTAAACCTTTTTGGATTCATGGGAAGATGTTAAAGGCTTCACAACTCTTGAAGGATTTGACCACTTCCTACACCTTCTTCAATCTGAATAAAAAAGTACTCCATCTACCAAGGCATCCAGCATTGGAAATATTCAAGTGTAAGAATTTGAGTACAATGACCCTCCTGCACCTCTTATTCAAACTTCAACAAAACCTTGGAACCAAACATGGAAAAAGAGATTGTGGAGAAAAATTCAAGCAAGGATAATCAACCTCAAATGGATAAAGTAGGAAAGGTGCTACCAATTGAGCAACCATCTCAACCTAACTAACTAAAGGAGGAGCTGCAAGAGGAGCCACCTATGAGGAATGGTTATGACCAGGCCAGTATAGAATCCAGCTTAGAAGAAGAGCACAATGCCACCACCATCCAAGAAATCATAGAGGAGTTCATCAAAGAAGAGATATCATCTAGCTCAATGGAGGAATCTTCAAGCCCCACCCATCAATAGTTCAACTCAAGTTGGGAGGAGAAAACTGACGAAGACTGCCACTTCGATCTTGGGAAAAAAGAAACCTCTACATCACCCTCTAAAACAAAGGAAGAAGAACAAGGAGTAGCCATCCCATCTACCCCAAGCAACGAAGCTCTATGTATAGAAGAATCAAGATTTGGAGTGGATGAAACCATTCAAGATCCCCTGATATCACCTTCTTAAGGATCTACCCAAACCTTGGAAACAAGAACTTTAAAGAAGTAAGGGTCGACATGACGAGTTCATCATTGGACAGTATCATTGCTATGAAAAGCCAAGTGAGAAGCATGAGCAACTTATAAAGAAAGATAAGATTGAGAAGACCAACATCAACTCAACTCCTTATGAACATAAAGAGCTCATTCGAGTATATGAAGAGAAGGATGATCTTGGTCATTACACGATTAATTGTCTCCTAGAATACCATTATGTGGAGCAAGGATTGGTAGATCTTGGCTCTAGTTTAAACATACTATCACTTCCTCCTACAAAGATGTGGGTCTTTATGACATGGAGGACATAGATATGGAGATCAAAATGACTGATTATACTCAATGTCAACATCTTGGAATATTTTGAAGCTTAAGCATGCAAAATGGGCCCTTCATGTTCTTTCTATACTATATGGTAATTAGGATGAATATATAAATCTCATATTCCCTAATCTTTAGTAGACCATTTATGGTCACTAGGATGAGGAGATGAAGAGACGTCAGAACCTGATTGGCCAACTGATGAGGGTTGGTTCATCAATTGGGAGAAACATATCCCTTTGTTTTGATTTGGATTTAGGAGTTGAAGAAATTTTTCTCTCCTTTGTATTTGTTTTCTTTTGATTGATGTATAATCTCCCTAAAAATGATAAGTGTTGGTTTCCTATGCCCTATTTCGACATTTGTATAATAAGTTGAGTACAATGTTTCAAACTTTTCCATAACTCACTATCTCTTAGTCCATTGAGGACAATGTCCATTTTAAAGGGTGGGGTGGACTTGGGTGATATATTTACTTGACTATGCTTGATACATGACATATTTTAGTCATTCAATTTCCAAATCTACAAGTTTTTATAATCCATTTGAAAAAATTTCAAAAAAATTAAAGATGTTTTCCATGTAATGCCTTTTAGGCATCCCCTACAAGCTTTTCATTGCTCATCTTACTTTGAATCAGTGAGTCTAGGGAATGCCATTCAATCTAGTGAGGATAATGTAGTGACTATGAAGGATGTGATAGTCAATGAGATTAATAACCATTTGATGTGTTCGGATGCTATGTGGTTTAATTCATTCAAAGATTTCTGGTCATGCAAAGGAGTCTCCTACTTTTGAAAAGTTATTTTTTCAATGGTGAACTGTATCTTTAGAAAAATGAAAAATCTATCAATCAAGACATGTTTGAATCCTTAAAAAAATTCATGCTATGTTCTAAAAAAATTGTGGGGTAAGCCCAATGTGTGAGGCATCTTTTCATTTCACTAAATTGGTTTTGAAAGGGATACAAGTTGAGCTTTAGTGGGAAAGTCCTATGAGGTTATGCTAGTTCCGTCCTAGTAAAAGTAAAAGTAAAATTTTCACCAGTCAAATTGATAGCCAACTTAAGGATGTGTTCTCAAGGGCACGGATAAAGCTTCCGACACCCCTTAATTTCATTGACCCTCCACACAAGTTAAGGAAAAGGGACTTCTAAGTTCTTGCTTGACCAATAAGAGTAAACATAAAAAACCTCTTCGCTCATGAAAAACTTAGAAAAAGAAGAAAATAGTAGAATGAAAAGAAGAAAAATCGAAAAAGATAAACAAGCTAAGGTTGTGAAGGCAAAAAGTACTTAAAGGGTATGTCAAGTTGATGGTAGAAGCATTCAAAGTTTAAAAATGTTTATCAAAACCTTTACCCTTGTATTTTAAGACTCTAATGCATGGTTAGTTGTTTATACTTGAATTGGATTATGTGCTTGCACATTGATATGATAAGGATTCTCTCGTGCTATTTTTGACCTTGTAAGTTACTTGTAATCCACTATGTAAGCTTGAAATTCATTGATGCTTCTTAGTATTCATTAAGTTGTATGATTGTGAGTAGTCTTTACTTGGGACAAGCAAAGTTCAAGTGTGGGGTATTTCTAATGACACTCAATTTATAATGTTTATCACTCCCATATTTGTTACATTTCCCCCTTCTATCAATGCATCTTTAGTGATTTTGATTTTATTTCATATTGAAATCATAACTATTTGATTAATGTGCTTATGCAAGACCTTCATTGTGTTTCTCTACTTTTTAATGTCTTAGGTATTTTTTGTGGTTTTCAATGATATAAACCACTCAAGATGTATTTGGATCAATAAGATATCTTGAGGATCAGAATGTGGAGGAGAATACGAGCTTATGGGCTCAAATATAGATAG